GAGATTCAATGTAAACCAACTTCATGGCTCAATTTTTCCTCTGTAGAATTGGCTGAAATAGAACAAAACAGCAAAGTGATGACGTAGGTGACAGAGATGTGACACAGGAGAATGAGTTCATGTACCAATTTCACAGTCAAACTCTGGACTCAACATTTTTAGTAGTTCATCTTCACACCCGCTGCACAGCGGACAAGAACCTAACGATGGAGCCGAAAACAGCCCCAGTACCGAGTCCTTCCCGCAGGGGCGTTCCAGCACTTTCCCTTTCATTCTGTCCACACCGGACCTGGGAAAGGACTCACAGGGTCCCTTGCCAGGGCCCCAGCCACGGAGGCAGCAGCAGAACCAGAGCTCTGAGGGACCCTGTGGATGCTCGCCCCAAGGCCGGTGGAGGCTGAGGGAAGTTGTGACATATGGAGGTGCGAGACTGTACCCCAAAGAGATTTGCAAACAATTGGTAGATGCATAAAATCTGAGAGGGAGAAAAAACACAAGAGGGTACATTTCGTTGGGGGAGAATCAGAAATCCCCCTACTCTTACACCTAAGTCATGGGGGTTGAGACTGAGGGGCGGTGTGAGGGATCAGAGGCCCCACCAGACTTACCCTGCACAGGAGCAAAGCAGGCCATCCCACATGTGCCACTGCAGCACTTGAAGTGCTCTGTACACTCGCCATCTGTCTCACAGTGCTTGGGAGGTTTCTGCATATAGCAGCGTCCAAGTACTGTTTCACACTGGCCAGGCTTCGTCCCTGGTGCGAGGAGAGCACAGGTGAAGGTCCTGGACTTCCCTATGGTCCTCCTCTGGACCCAGCCTGCTCCACCCTCCACAGACAAAATGATCTCCCCAGCCCCATGACCCCCACTTCCTCCAGAGAGGCCTGCACGTCCCTTGAAGGCAGAACCTGCTCCACTCTAACCCCAGACCCCATCACTGCAGGGGACAGGCGTCAGTGCTGTCCAATGGCTGCTGCCCACTGCCCAGAGTTCTGAATTTAGGACCTGATGATATGACCTGGAAATGGACCTGCTGGCAGGTGCTTGTGTCCACTGCCCGGTGGTCACTTCCTGTCTGGGCCAGTGTGACCCCCTGAGCAGCAGAAACACGAGTCCCAGCACCTGCCCCCTGAGGCTGTATCCTCTGCTTCAGGACTTTCACCAGCTCTGCCACCTGCTCACCTGGATACTAGAGTTTCACAGGGTCCAGGAATTTCATTCTGTACCTATCAATGCAACATCTCTTCTTTCCTGAGCAATTCCAGTCACTCTGGCATTCAGTGTCTTCAAAATCAATGCAACTGGCTGGTAACTCCCAGGGCATTCACCACCCTTCACAGCTGCCAGGACAGAGCCAAGAACTCAGCCGGGCCTGGGGGCTCAGGGCCCATCTTGACACCTGAGCCAAGCCCCACCTGCTGGAGAGACCCTCCCCCAGGGGACTGTCCACAGGTGCAAGGGGAGATGCCTGCCTGACCCCCATAAGAAGGACGAGCTGGATGAGCCACACACCCTGACACAGGTCACAGAATCTGGAAAGCCCCGGGCATCAGCCAAGGGTCCCTGCCCCAGGGATAAGGCAGGCTGTGCCACGGCAGGGACACAACCGAGAGTGGTGGGGGAGAAGAGATATAAAAGATATGAAACCAAAGTGACAGGTGACAGCCAGGCACAGAGGCTAAAGGAAGAAGCAGAGAGGGGCAGGCAGAGAAGAGAAAAGGCACAGAGGGTGTTAGACCCAGGCTGAGGACAGTGGAGTCAGGAACATTTCCTCATGTCAAATCCCTCACCTTTTCTGGGAGCCCAGGTGAGCAGGACCCACCTCAAAGAGGTCTTCTCAGACTATGTGGGTGCATCAGCTAGAGAGGGGGCCTCCCCATACCACCAAGATTGGGGTCCCACCTCTGCCAAGAACCAAGATTGTACCGGGGCATATCCCACTCACGCTCTCTGGCACTTTCCCCGGCCCATAGTGCCAGATTCCCAGGACTAGAAGCGCCAGAGGGAGGATGCCCTGGACTTCATGGTGTGGACAGGGCAGGCTCTGAGGGCAGGTGCCTGGCCTCGCTAATGATACAGGAGGCAGCTCCACCCCAAATGCTGCTCTACCCATTGGTGATTCCAAGGCCAGTAATTTCAGCAAGAAATCAGAAGTGCTGACACCAGGAGGCAGTAACTGCTGACAGAGAAGCCAAAAGAGCACCAGCCACGGGAGCAAATGGAGAAGCTGGACTGAAGATGACCCCGGAGTTTCCATGAGAAGCCTGCATGCCCCGGAGCGCTGGCCCCTGGCCTCCTAGGTGCAGAGGGGAGGCACCTCCATGGGAAGATGCTACTGGAGCTGCAGCTGAACCCAGAGATGTGGTCGCTCAACTGTGACCAGGGCCTTGTCCCTCCAGCTCTCCCCGTCCAGGACTCTCAGGGATGATGAAACAATCTGCTGATTCCTCAATGCAATGTCCTTCTCAAATTCAGGTGGCAGATCACTCAACCAACACGTATTTGTGATCTCTGAATTATTTGCTTCATTACACCTCAGTCCTCTTTCATGCCTGCGACATGGAAAGTGTGAAGTAAACAATCGTCAAAGCAGAGGTGCAGAAGGGAGGGGGGGGGGTTCTGCCCTTAGCAAGTCTCTGGAGCTTAGTTTTCCCAACAAATCAGCTCTTCTGAGCCAGCTGAGTGACAGCCACGAGGGAACGTCAATAAAGGATCATTTCCCAACGGGGAAAATTGCAGGGAGTGAATCCCTGAATAATGAGTGACGTAGTGAGGAGACCAGAGAGAAGCCACTGTGGCCTCTGACCCTCTCCGGTGCTTCATGGTTTTCCTTTCTGAGGTGAAGCGCCCCCAAGGCCAAAAGCCCCAGAAGACAGACCAGATGTTGATGTGGGCCTGGGAACAGCATGTCAGGGGAGCAGCACTAGCAGAGAGGGGGCAAGGAGGGGCTGGGAACAGAGGAGAGTCTGGAAGTTTCCTTGTCCTGAGGCCAGAGACCCAGAGCTCAACTCTGTCCCTCTGATGCTTCTCTTGGCTCCAACTTCTGCTGCACGTCCATTTGGATTCTTCTCTGCAATTCCGGGGAGTGAGAAAGGGGGTTCCCCTCAGAGACCAAATCAGTAGAAGGAGGGTCAGAGAACCTGGATGAGGAGGAAGGGTCTGGGGTCCATGGAGCAAAAGTCTGATTGCAGAGGACGCCGGGAAGTCATCGCCAGAGGAAGCTGAGCAGGGATTTGTGCTGAGGTCAGATTTCAGTCCAGGATCTTGGCCCTTCTCTTCCTTCCAGAAGGAAGACATCTGTCTTCTTTGACTAGAAAACTATGACTAAACTGTTTTCTCTGTGACCTTTCAATAAGGAAAAGCTTGAGAAGGTGACAAAATCTCTGGGTGGCAGCTGGGATGTGTTTGCATTGCACTGATTCCTTCCTCGCCCGACTCATGTGCTTTGCCAAGTGTGTGTTTTCTTTATCATGTGTGTAAAATATGTCTGCTTTCCAAATGTTCCTGAGTGCACATTTCATTAAACTTCTGGGGAGAAGACCCAGTTGCGGACTAGGTGATGATCAGTAGGACCCAAAAGAAAAGAGATGAACAACCTTCTGGACAAAGGGGATATAACCCAAGCTCCCTTGTCTGGGCACACACACCTAGATGGTCAGCTCTGGGCTTTTTGCTTGTTTCAGTGACTGACATGGAAAGAGTGCAGACTTTGCCATGAGAACGACCTCCTTTCAAATCCTGCCGCGGTACACAGGCTCCATTAGATCATTACACTGAATAAGGACCGAGCACCTGTTAGGACCGAGCACTGAGAAGCGCACTCATGATCGTCACCCGGACGTGTCCGAGTGCCTGAAGCAGGTGTGACATCGCTGGGTTATGCAAGCTACAAGCACAGCACTCAGGGTTTGTTCCATGCCAGGACACAAGAGGAGGGTGCTTGGGTGAGCACAAAGACCTGCTTGAGACTGAAACTGCATGTGGGCCTGGAGTGCAGCCACGGGCTCCCTGTGTGCAAACTGGAGTGAGGTGGGGAACCGGGAGAAGACTCCATGGTTTCAGGACAGAAGCACCTGCTGTGCAAGAGGGTTGGAGCTCCACACAGAAACATCAATTCCAAAGAGCACCTGCACCCCTATGTTTATAGCAGCACTATTTACAATAGCTAAGCTTTGGAAACAACCCAAATGCCCCAAAATAGATGACTGGATCAAGAAGATGTGGTCCATATACAACATGGAATATTACTCAGCACTCAAAAAAGATAAACACATGCAATTTGCAGCGACATGGATGGAGATGGAAGGGATCATGCTCAGCGAAATAAGCCAGAAAGAAAAAGAAAAATACCGGATGGTCTCACTCATAGCAGGAATCTAGAAAACTTAAATAAGGGACCAGGAAAATGAATAACTATAAGAAAGAAAAAAATCAACATCAACAACTATGAACCAGAAACATGCTATGGGGGGGGGGGCGGGGAAAGCAGGGATTGGAGTCAAAATAAGAGGGTTGCAACTGTATGGGGAATATAAAAATAAAATTTAAAAAAAAAGAGTGTTTGGGATCCACCCATGGGCTGATCATCATACATGTTGTTCATCTCAGCTCATTTTATGCAAAAGTAATAATGTCTTAGAAAGGAGAAGAAACAAAACAGGCTCAGATGCCAACAGTGGGCATGTGTCACATATTTCAGAGAGCCTGGTGTGCCCTGGAGACTGTGTACTCATTTCACACCCACTGCATAACCAGTGCCCCACAGACTGGCAGAGAGTGGTTCGATTCCACTCTGCAGTTACAGAAATTAAGGTAAAGGAGAACAATGCACCTGAATGAAATCAGAGCCAGCATTGTCAGACTCATGATGCAAACTCAGGCCTGTGTGGTCCCTAAGCCTCCTCCTTCCACACACGAAAAGGAGGGGCCTCCACTCCAGACACCCTCTGTACCCCACCCAGTATGGACTCCACAATGAAGCATGGGCAGGATGTGCAGAGAGAAACATTTATTCATTCAACAAACAATAGGCATTTCCTGAAAGCAACTGTGTGTCAAGCCTTTCTCCAAAGGAGACACCGGTGGTAGAACCTGGTCTTCACCTTGGAAAGTGTCATGATGGGGTCTGGTTGGGGAGAGCGAATTCCCAGAACACACAGGGCATAACCCAAAGTTACTTTCAGTGGCAGCATCAGATGTGAGGGGAAATCATGTTGGAGCTTCAACGTAAACCAACTTCATGGCTCAATTTTTCCTAAGTTTACTGAAATAGAAAAAAAACCCAGCAAAGTGATGATGTAGATGACAGAGATGTGACACAGGAGAATGAGTCCATCAAACTCTGGATCAACACTTAGAGTAGTTCATCTTCACACCCGCTGCACAGCGGACAGGAACCTAAAGGTGGAGCCGAAAACAACCCCAGCACCGAGTCCTTCCCGCAGGGGCTTTCCAGCACTTTCCCTTCATTCTGTCCACACCGGACCCGGGAAAGGACTCACAGGGCCCCTTGCCAGGGCCCCAGCCACGGAGGCAGCAGCAGAACCAGAGCTCTGAGGGACCCTGTGGCTCCTCGCCCCAAGGCCGGTGGAGGCTGAGGGAAGCATGTGACATATGGAGGGGCGAGACAGTACCCCAAAGTTACAGAGACATGCAAACAACTGGCAGATGCATAAAATTTGAGAGGGAAAAAAGACACAAGAGGGTCAAACAGTGAATTTCGTTGGGGGAGAATCAGAAATCCCCCTACTCTTACACCTAAGTCATGGGGGTTGAGACTGAGGGATGGTGTGAGGGGTCAGAGGCCCCACCAGACTTACCCTACACAGGGACAATGCACATGTTCTTACACATGACCTCGCAGCACTTTAAGTTGCCCGGACAATCGCCATCTGTATCACAGAGGTTGTCAGTGTTCCGCATATAGCAGGGTCCAGGTATTCTTACACACTGGCCAGGCTTCGTCCCTGGTGCGAGGAGAGCACAGGTGAAGGCCCTGGACTTCCCTGCGGTCCTCCTCTGGACCCAGCCTGCTCCACCCTCCACAGACAAAATGATCTCCCCAGCCCCATGACCCCCACTTCCTCCAGAGAGGCCTGCACATCCCTTGAAGGCAGAGCCTGCTCCGCTCTAACCCCAGACCCCATCACTGCAGGGGACAGGCGTCAACGCTGACTGGGTGGCTGCTCCCCACTGCCCAGAGTTCTGAATTTAGGACCTGATGATATGACCTGCAAACAGACCTGCAGGCAGGTGCTTGTGTCCAGTGCCAAGTGGTCACTTCCTGTCTGGCCAGTGAGACCCCCTGAGCAGGAGAAACAAGAGTCCCAGCACCACCCAACCCTGCCCCCTGAGGCTGTGTCCTCTGCTTCACACCTTTCACCAGTTCTGCCACCTGCTCACCTGGATGCTATAGTTTCACATGGTCCAGGCATTTCTCTGCACTTATCTATGCAGCATCTCTTCTCTAGTGGGCCCTGCCAGTCTTGCTGGCATTCAGATTTGTCAAGTTTAGTGCACCTGGCTGGTGAACTCCTAGGGCATTCTCCACCCTTCACAGCTCGAGGACAGAGCCATGAACTCAGCCGGGCCTGGGGATCAGGGTCATGGTGACACCTGAGCCAAGCCCCACCTAGTAGAGAGACCCTCCCCCAGGGGACTGTGCACAGGTGCAAGGGAGATGCCTGCCTGACCCACATGAAGAAGGACGAGCTGGATGAGCCACACACCCTGACTCAGGTCACAGAAGCGGAAACCCCCGATTATCAGCCAAGGGTGCCTATGCCAGGGATAAGCAGGCTGTGCCAAGGCAGAGAGACAACCGGGAGCGGTGGAGGAGGGGAGATTGAAAAGTTATGAAACTATTACAGGTTGACGGCCAGACACAGAGGCTAAAGGACGAAGCAGAGAGGGGCAGGCAGAGAAGAGAAAAGGCACAGAGGATGTGAGACCCGGGCTGAGGACAGCGGAGTCAGGAGCATTTCCTCATGCTCAGACCCTCACGAGACCTGGGAGCCCAGCTGGACAGGACCCACCTCAGGGAGGTTCTCAGACTACGGGGCTGCATCAGCTAGAAAAGGGGCCCCCCCACACCACCAAGAACTCCCGCCTCTGCCCCACATCAAGATTGTACCATGGCGAGTCCCACTCACCATCTCCGTCAGCTTCCACAGCCCACGGTGCCAGGGTTCCCAGGACAAGAAGCGCCAGAAGGAGGAGGCCACTGGACTTCATGGTGGGGACAGGGCAGGCTCTGAGGGCAGGTGCCTGGCCTCGCTCTTTATACAGGAGGCAGCTCCACCCCAAATGATGCCCCGCCCTGAGATGATTCCATGGGCAGGAAGTTCAGCAAGAAATCAGCAGTCCTGACACCAGGAGGAAGTAACTCCTTTGATCCAGGCAAGACAGAGAAGCCAAAAGAGCAACAGCCAGGGAGGAAAAGGAGAAGCTGGCCTGAAGATGACCTGGAGGGTCCATGTGACCCCTGCATGCCCTGGAGCGGCGGCCACTGGCCTCCTCAGTGCAGAGGGGAGGCACTTCCATGGGAAGATGCTACCAGAGCTGCAGCTGAACCCAGAGGTGTGGTTGCTCAACTGTGACCAGGGCCTTGTCCCTCCAGCTCTCCCCGTCCTGGACTCTCAGGGATGACGAAACGATCTGCTGATTCCTCAATGCAATGTCCTTCTCAAACTCAGGTGGCAGATCACTCAGCCAACACGTATTTGTGATCTCTGAAATGTTGCTGCGTCCCACCCCAGTCCTCTTTCATGCCTGCGACATGGAAAGTGTGAAGTAAACAATCGTCAAAGCAGAGGTGCAGAAGGAGGGGGTTCTGCCCTTAGCAAGTCTCTCGAGCTCAGTTTTCCCAACAAATCAGCTCTTCTGAGCCAGCTGAGTGACAGCCACGAGGGAACGTCAATAAAGGATCATTTCCCAATGGGGAAATGTGCAGGGAGTGAATCCCTGAATAATGAGTGATGTAGAGAGGAGACCAGAGAGAAGCCGCTGTGGCCTCTGACCCTCTCCCCTGCTCATGGTTTTCCTTTCTGAGGTGAAGCGCCCCCAAGGCCAGAAGCCCCAGAAGACAGACCAGATGCAGGTGTGGCCCTGGGAGTGGCGAGTTAGGGGAGCAGCACTTGCAGAGAGGGGCCAAGGAGGGGCTGGGAGTGGAGGAGAGTCCAGGATGTTGCCCTGGTCTAGGGGCCAGAGACCCAGAGCTCAGCTCTCTCCCTCTGATGCTTCCCCTGGCTCCAACTTCTGCTGCACGTCCAGCTGGATTCTCCTCTGCAACTCCGGGGACGTGAGTAAGGGGGTTCCCCTCAGAGTCCAAATCAATAGAAGGAGGGTCAGGGACCCCGGATGAGGAGGAAGGGTCAGGGGTCCATGGAGCAAATGTCTGACGCTGCAGAGGATGCAGGAATCATCGCCAGAGGAAGCTGAGCTGCCACAGTCTCCCTGTGTGCAAAGTGGAGTGAGAGTGGGAATTGGGAGATGAGGCCATGCTGGCAGGACTGAAGCACCTGCTGTGCAAAAGGGTTGGAGCTCCAGAGACAGAGTTTAGGGTCCTCCCTGGGCTGATCGTCAGCACATGTTATTCTCTCAGTTCATTTTATGCAAAAGAAATAATGTCTTAGAAAGGAGAAGAAACAATAGAGGTTCAGATGCCAACAGTGGGCATGTGTCACATATTTTAGAGGGCCTGGTGTGCCCCAGGGGACTTTGTAGTCATTTCACACCCACTGCATACCCAGTGCCCCACAGACTGGCAGAGAGTGGTTCGATTCCACTCTGCAGTTACAGAAATTAAGGTAAAGGAGAACAATGCACCTGAATGAAATCAGAGCCAGCATTGTCAGACTCATGATGCAAACTCAGGCCTGTGTGGTCCCTAAGCCTCCTCCTTCCACACACGAAAAGGAGGGGCCTCCACTACAGACACCCCCTGAACCCCAACCCGTATGAACTTCATAATGCAGCATGGACAGGATGTGCAGAGGGAAACATTTGTTCATTCAACAAACAACAGGCATTTCCTGAAAGCAACTGTGTGTCAAGTCTTTCTCCAAAGGAGACACCAGTGGCAGAACCTGGTCTTCACCTTGGAATGAGTCATGATGGGGTCTGGGGAGGGAGAGGGAATTCCCAGAACACACAGGGCATGACACAAAGTTACTTTCAGTGGCAGCATCCGATGTGAGGGGAAATCATGTTGGAGCTTCAATGTAAACCAACTTCATGGCTCAATTTTTCCTCTGTAAGAATTGGCTGAAATAGAAAAAAAGAGCAAAGTGATGACGTAGGTGACAGAGATGTGACACAGGAGAATGAGGTCATGTACCAATTTCACAGTCAAACTCTGGACTCAACACTTAGAGTGGTTCATCTTCACACCCGCTGCACAGCGGACAGGGACGTAGCCATGGAGCCGAAAACAACCCCAGCACCGAGTCCTTCCCTGCAGGGGCGTTCCAGCACTTTCCCTTCATTCTGTCCACACCGGACCTGGGAAAGGACTCACAGGGTCCCTTGCCAGGGCCCCAGCCATGGAGGCAGCAGCAGAACCAGAGCTCTGAGGGACCCTGTGGCTCCTCGCCCCAAGGCCGGTGGAGGCTGAGGGAAGCACGTGCACATATGGAGGTGCGAGACTGTACCCCAAAGTTACAGAGACATGCAAACAATTGGCAGATGCATACAATTTGAGAGGGAAAAAAGACACAAGAGGGTCAAACAGTGAATTTCGTTGGGGGAGAATCAGAAATCCCCCTACTCTTACACCTAAGTCATGGGGGTTGAGACTGAGGGGCGGTGCGAGGGGTCAGAGGCCCCACCAGACTTACCCTACACAGGGGCACAGCAGGCTTTCCCACACCTGCCCTCGCAGCACTTTAAGTTGCCGGGACACTCGCCATCTGTCTCACAGTCGTTGGGAGGGTTCCGCATATACAGGGTCCATGTATTGTTTCACACTGGCCAGGCTTCGTCCCTGGTGCGAGGAGAGCACAGGTGAAGGCCCTGCACGTCCCCACGGCGCTGCTGCCGGACCCAGCCTGCTCCACCTCCACAGACAAAAAGATCTCCCCAGCCCCATGACCTCCACTTCCTCCAGAGAGGCCTGCATGTCCCTTGAAGGCAGAGCCTGCTCCACTCTAATTCCAGACCCCATCACTGCAGGTGACAGGGTCAGGGCTCACTGGGTGGCTGCTGCCCACTGCCCAGAGTTCTGAATTTAGCACCAGATGATATGACCTGGAAATGGACCTGCTGGCAGGTGCTGGTGTCTACTGCCAGGTGGCCACATCCTGTCTGGCCAGTGTGATCCCCTGAGCAGCAGAAACAGGAGTCCCAGCACCACCCAATCCTGCCCCCTGAGGCTGTTTCCTCTGCTTCACACCTTTCACCACTTCTGCCACCTGTTCACCAGGTTACTAGAGTTTCACAGGGTCCAGGCATTTCTCTGCACTTATCTATGCAGCATCTCTTCTCTAGTGGGCCCTGCCAGTCTCGCTGGTATTCAAATTTGTCAAGTTTAGTGCACCTGACTGGTGAACTCCTAGGGCATTCGCCAGCCTTCACAGCTGCAAGGACAGAACCAAGAACTCAGCTGGGCCTGGGGATCAGGGTCATGGTGACACTGAGCCAAACCCCACTAGTAGAGAGACCCTCCCACAGGGACTGTGCACAGGTGCAAGGGGAGATGCCTGCCTGACCCACATGAAGAAGGATGAGCTGGATGAGCCACACACACTGACACAGCAGCTGGAAACCCCCGATTATCATCCAAGAGTCCTTATGCCAGGGGTAAGCCAGGCTGTGCCAAGGCAGAGAGACAACCAGGAGCGGCGGGGCAGGAGGGATTTAAAAGTTATGAAACCAACATGACATGAGACGGCCACACACAGAGGCTAAAGGACGAAGCAAAGAGGCCAGTAGACAACAGAAAAGGCACAGAGGATGTGAGACCCGGGCTGAGGACAGCAGAGTCAGGAGCATCTCCTCATGCTCAGAACCTCACGAGACCTGGGAGCCCAGCTGGGCAGGACCCACCTCAGGGAGGTTCTCAGACTACGGGGCTGCATCAGCTAGAGAAGGGGCCTCCCCACACCACCAAGAACTCCCGCCTCTGCCCCACATCAAGATTGTACCATGGCGAGTCCCACTCACCATCTCCATCAGCTTCCACGGCTCACGGTGCCAGGGTTCCCAGGACAAGAAGCGCCAGAAGGAGGAGGCCACTGGACTTCATGGTGGGGACAGGGCAGGCTCTGAGGGCAGGTGCCTGGCCTCGCTCTTTAAGCAGGAGGCAGCTCTACCCCAAATGATGCCCTGCCCTGAGGTGATTCCATGGGCAGGAAGTTCAGCAAGAAATCAGCAGTCCTGACACCAGGAGGCAGTAACTCCTTTGTTCCAGGCAAGACAGAGAAGCCAAAGAGCAACAGCCAGGGGAGGAAAAGGAGAAGCTGGCCTGAAGATGATCCTGGAGGGTCCATGTGACACCTGCATGCCCTAGAGTGCTGACCACTGGCCTCCTAGGAGCAGAGGTGAGGCACCTCCATGGAAAGATGCTACTGGAGCTGCAGCTGAACCCAGAGGTGTGGTCGCTCAACTGTGAACTGGGCCTTGTCCCTCCAGCTCTCCCCGTGCTGGACTCTCAGGGATGACGAAACAATCTGCTGATTCCTCAATGCAATGTCCTTCTCAAATTCAGGTGGCAGATCACTCAACCAACACATATTTATGATCTCTGAAAAGATGCTGCGTCCCACCCCAGTCCTCTTTCATGCCTGCGACATGGAAAGTGTGAAGTAAACAATCGTCAAAGCAGAGGTGCAGAAGGAGGGGGTTCTGCCCTTAGAAAGTGTCTGGAGCTCAGTTTTCCCAACAAATCAGCTCTTTTGAGCCAGCTGAGCGACAGCCAGGAAGGGAACGTCAATAAAGGATCATTTCCCAATGGGGAAAGTGCAGGGAGTGAATCCCTGAATATTGAGTGATGTTGTGAGGAGACCAGAGAGAAGCCGCTGTGGCCTCTGACCCTCTCCCCTGCTCATGGTTGTCCTTTCCCTGAGGTGAAGCGCCCCCAAGGCCAGAAACCCCAGAAGACAGACCAGATGCAGGTGTGGCCCTGGGATTGGAGAGTTAGGGGAGCAGCACTTGCAGAGAGGGGCCAAGGAGGGGCTTGGAACGGAGGAGAGTCTGGGAAGTTCCCCTTGTCCTGGGGCCAGAGACCCAGAGCTCAGCTGTCTCCATCTTACACTTCCCTTGGCTCCAACTTCTGCTGACGTCCAGTCAGATTCTTCTCTGCATTTCTGCAGACATGACAAAGGGGTTCCTCTCAGAGAAGAAATCAGTAAAAGGGGTCAGAGAACCCAGCATGAGGAGGAAGGTTCTGGGATCCTTGGTGCAAATGTGACTCTGCAGAGGGCACGGGGAAGTCAACGCCAGAGGAAGCTGAGCAGGGAATTCTGATGAGGTCAGATTTCAGACCAGGATCTTGTAGCTTCTCTTCCTTCCAAAAGGAAGACATCCGCATTCTTTGACTAGAAAAATACGACTAAACTGTTTTCTCTGTGACCTTTCAATAAGGAAGTTGCTTGAGAAGGTGATAAAATCTATGGCAGTATGAATGTGGTCTCGGTGGCAGTTGGGATGTGTTTGCATTGCACTGATTCCTTCCTCGCCTGACTCACCTGCTTTGCCAAGTGTGTTTTCTTTGAGCATGTGCGTAAAATATGTCTGCTTTCCAAATGTTCCTGAGTGCACATTTCATTAAACTTCTGCGGAGAACAACCAGTGGCGCACTAGATGATGGTCAGCAGGACCCGAAAGAAAAGAGATGGTCCAAACTCCTTCATCTGGGAACACACCCCGAGATGGGCAGTTTCTATGCTTTTGCCTGATTTCAGTGACTTTCATGGGAAGATACAGACTTTGGAATTGGAACAACCCGTTTTCAAATCCTGCCTCGCTACACAGGCTCCACTAGATCATGACACTGAATAAGGACCGAGCACCTGCTAGGGCCATGCACTGAAAGCAGCGCCCTCACAAGTCATCTCCTGGACGCGTCTGAGCACAGGAAGCAGGTGTTACACTCGCTCGGTTTTACAAATGGCAGACGCAATGCTTAGAGTTGGCCCCAACAAGGTGCCAGGAGGAGGGGGTGCTGGGTGAGCCTGACAGGGACCTCCCTGAGGCTGAAGCTGCATCCAGGCCTAGAGTCAGTCATGGGCTCCCTGTGTGGGAAGCTGGAGTGAGAAGAGGAAGCGGGAGCCGTCTCTGCGCATGCAGGACTGAAGCACCTGCTGTGTAAGAAGTTCAGAGCCCCAGAGAGAAGCATCAATATCCAAAATGTGTTTTTGTGGCCTCTCTCAAAAAGATTGGTATTTCATTGGATGTACTCGATGTTATCACGCTCTTGCTTCATGGATACACTTTCTATGTCAATGTTGGGTACAGAGTCCTTCAGAAGATCACCTTACATCTTCTTCAGACAGTTTAAAACTGATTTTCATACCAAGCAAGAATCCATTTGAAATTACTTTTTTGAAAAGTTTGAAGTAAAGTATGGGCCTCCCTGGTGGTGCAAGGGGTTAAGTACAGCACTGTGAAGCCACTGGAGACAAATTGTTCTGCAGCCACTGCAGCACAAGTTCGATCCCCAGGAAGGGAGCTGACCCACATGGAGAAGCAGACCTCTCCTGTCTTGCCCACGGCTCCCCTCAGCAGTGTATTTCAGTCAGTCTGCCCGTTCGATTACCCCCACTCTGTTTCTGGTGAATCTTCTCACCCCCCACACCTCGGCCTGTACACCAGGTTCTTAAATAAATCTTTAAGAAACAGAGAGAGAGAGAGACGTTTGAGGTATAGACCTTGCTTCATTTTTTTCTGTCTGAAATGCCAGTTTCTCACTCCCTCCACTGATTCTATTAAGTTATAGAATCAAATTATTTGATAATAAGTTTTCATATGTAGGTAAATGTATTTCAAGTCTATTAGGTTTTCCTGCTGAATTTGTCATGTCACATGTGCCAGCAAGACTACTTACGGGAAATTTCAAATGGATGATACTTGCATATCAGCATCCAGGGAGACACTCGGCTTCATTAGGCACCAGGTTATAATCAAGCTGTCTGCTGGGACTGCATCACGGGACCAGGCGGGTGAGCAGCCCGCTTCCAAGCTCACTCAGTGATCGTCGTGGCCTCAGTTCCACACAGGTTACGGCCAGAGCCCTGGGCTCACCGCTCTGCAGACCACCTCCCTGTGGTTGGGTCCCCATGATGAGGCAGCTGAGATCTGCAGAGCAGGTGACCGGGGGAGCACACACTCCACAGTGCCATGCCAAGCTAATCTAATCTCATCAGGACTCCTGTCACTCTACAGCATTCTGTTGTCACACGGACCTTCTGTGTGGAAAACACGGGGGAGAGACTCCACCAGAGTGTGCATAATCAGGTTGAGGCTCCCTGGGAGCCAGGGTGAGGGCGGTGTCTACACTCGTGATGAACAGAACAGCTCCCCTCTTCAGGTCTTTCTCACACATTCGTCTGTCCATCCACTGGTAACGAACAGAACGGTGGTTCAAAGCAGCACAAAGCGTATTCTCACAGTGGTTTGTTCAGGAAACACAATTGTGATAAGTGTTTTTATTTTAATCATGATCTAATCCAACTCTGTCCTCACATCATAGAATTCTGGTCCTTGCTGGCCCTGCTCTGGAATCCTGCTCATGTTACTCATCTGCTGCGTGGACTCGAGACCATCACCGCCAATGGGTCGTCCTGGCCAAGAGCAGGCCACCGGAGCACCCACCACATGAGTATCCTGGCATAGAGAAAGGCCGCCTGAAAGGCCTCCCCACTCAACTACATGAGAAAGGCCTGGAATACTACTCCCAAGACATTCAGAGACAGGGTCATTATGAGTCAGGAAATACCTATCCCTTGTCTCACTCGGGGGTGCTCCTGTCTGAGCACCACATGGCTAGCTACTCCCTGCCCCATGCCGTAGCTGTGCTCTGGGGGCAAAGCTTGAGTCCTTCTACTGCAGCATGAAGAGGGACCAGGCATGGAGGCAAATTGTTCTGCAGCTACTGTGGGAACAGACCCACCGGTCATGGGGCACAGGCCAAGAGGCCACTGACCTTCATGTTTCCCTAGAGGTCGTAGGGCTCTGTTCCATACAGCACATGACTTCAATGTACTTCTCTTAGCCATGCTGATGCCAAGACACCATGAACAGAGTGCTTGGTGTCCCCCTTGGAGCTGAATGTCAGTGCACGTTGTTCCTCTGAGCTCATTTTACGCAAAAGAAATAATATCTTAGAAAGAGAAGAAATGACAGAGGCTCAAATGCCAACAGTGGGCATGTGTCACGTATTTCAGAGAGCCTGGTGTGCCCCGGGGACTTTGTACTCATTTCACACCCACTGCATACCCAGTGCCCCACAGACTGCCAGAGAGTGGTTCGATTCCACTCTGCAGTTACAGAAATTAAGGTAAAGGAGAACAATTTCACTTGAATGAAATCAGAGCCAGCATTGTCAGACTCATGATGCAAACTCAGGCCTGTGTGGTCCCTAAGCCTCCTCCTTCCACACACGAAAAGGAGGGGCCTCCACTCCAGACACCCTCTGAACCCCACCCAGTATGGACTCCACAATGAAGCATGGACAGGATGTGCAGAGGGAAACAATCATTTATTCATTCAACAAACAACAGGCATTTCCTGAAAGCAACTGTATGTCAAGCCTTTCCCCAAAGGAGACACCGGTGGCAGAACCTGGTCTTCACCTTGCAGTGTGTCATCATGGGAGTCTGGGTGGGGAGAGGGAATTCCCAGAACACAGAGGACGTAACCCAAAGTTACGTTCAGTGGCAGCATCAGATGTGAGGGGAAATCATGTTGGAGCTTCAACGTAAATGAAGTTCATGGCTAAATTTATCCTTTGTAAGAATTCTGAAATAGAAAAAAAAAACCAGCAAAGTGATGATGTAGGTGACAGAGATGTGACACAGGAGAATGAGATCATGTATCAATTTTACAGTCAAACTCTGGAATCAACATTTACAGTAGTTTATCGTCACAGCCGCTGCACAGCGGACAGGGACGTAACGATGGAGCCGAAAACAACCCCAGTACCGAGTCCTTCCCCGCAGGGGCGTTCCAGCACTTTCCCTTTCATCTGTCCACACCGGACCCGGGAAAGGACTCACAGGGTCCCTTGCCAGGGCCCCAGCCACAGAGGTAGCAGCAGAACCAGAGCTCTGAGGGACCCTGTGGCTCCTCGCCCCAAGGCCGGTGGAGGCTGAGGGTTCATGTGACATATGGAGGTGCGAGACTGTACCCCAAGGTTATAGAGACATGCAAACAACTGGCAGATGCATAAAATTTGAGAGCGAGAAAAAACACAAGTGGGTCAAACAGTGAATTTCGTTGGGGGAGAATCAGAAATCCCCCTACTCTTACACCTAAGTCATAGGGTGGTGCGAGGGATCAGAGGCCCCACCAGACTTACCCTACACAGGGGCAAAGCAGGCTTTCCCACACATGCCCTCGCAGCACTTGAAGTGGTCCGTACAATTGCCATCTGTCTCACAGTGGTTGGGAGGGTTCAGCATCTTGCAGCGTGCCATTATTTTTGGACACCGGCCAGGCTTCGTCCCTGGTGCGAGGAGAGCACAGGTGAAGCCCTGCATGTCCCCACGGCGCTTCTTCCTGACACAGCCTGCTCCACCTACACAGACAAAATGATCTCCCCAGCACCATGACCCCCACTTCCTCCAGAGAGGCCTGCATGACCCTGGAAGGCAGAGCCTGCTCCGCTTTAACCCCAGACCGCATCACTGCAGGGGACAGGCATCAGTGCTCACTGGGAGGCTGCTGCCCACTGCCCAGAGTTCTGAATTTAGGACCAGATGATATGACCTGAAAACGGACCTGCTGGCAGGTGCTTGTGTCCAGTGCCAAGTGGTCCCTTCCTGTCTGGCCATTGAGACCCCCTGAGCAGCAGCAACACGGGTCCCAGCACCACCCACCCTGCCCCCTGTGGCTGTGCCCTCTGCTTCAGGACTTTCACCAGCTCTTGCCACCTCTTACCTGGATACTAGTGTTTCACAGGGTCCAGGCATTTCTCTGCACTTATCAATGCAGCATCTCTTCTCTAGTGGGCACTGCCAGTCACGCTGGCATTCAGATTTGTCAAGTTTAGTGCACCTGGCTGGTGAACTCCTAGGCCATTTGCCAGCCTTCACAGCTGCAAGGACAGAGCCTAGAGCTCAGCCGGGCCTGGGGATCAGGGGCCATCGGGACACCTGAGCCAAGCCCCACCTGCTGGAGAGACCCTCCCGCAGGGGACTGTCCACAGGGGCAAGGGGAGATGCCTGCCTGACCCCCACGGAGAAGGACGGGCTGGATGAGCCACATGCACTGACACAGCAGCTGGAAACCCCCGAGTATCAGCCTAGGGTCCCTACGCCAGGGTAAGCCAGGCCGTGCCAAGGCAGAGAGACAACTTGGATGGTGGGGAGGAGAGATTTGAAAGTTATGAAACCAACGTGACAGGTGACAGCCAGACACAAAGGCTAAAGGACGAAGCAGAGAGGGGCAGGCAGAGAAGAGAAAAGGCACAGAGGATGTGAGACCCGGGCTGAGGACAGCGGAGTCAGGAGCATTTCCTCATGCTCAGACCCTCACGAGACCTGGGAGCAGGTGGGCAGGACCCACCTCAGGGAGGTTCTCAGACTACGGGGCTGCATCAGCTAGAGAAGGGGCCTCCCCACACCACCAAGAACTCCCACCTCTGCCCCACATCAAGATTGAACCAGGGCGATTCCCACTCACCATCTCTGGCAGCTTCCACGGCCCACGGTGCCAGGGTTCCCAGGACAAGAAGCGCCAGAAGGAGGAGGCCACTGGACTTCATGGTGGGGACAGGGCAGGCTCTGAGGGCAGGTGCCTGGCCTCGCTGTTTATACAGGAGTCAGCTCCACCCCAAATGCTGCCCCGCCCAGTAGTGATTCCAAAGGCCAGGAAGTTCAGCAAGAAATCAGCAGTCCTGACACCAGGAGGCAGTAACTCCTTTGTTCCAGGCAAGACAGAGAAGCCAAAACAGCAACAGCCAGGGAGGAATAGAAGAGGCTGGCCTGAAGATGACCCCGGAGCATCCATGTGATGCCTACTTGCCCGGGAGCGCCCGGCCACTGGCCTCCTAGGTGCAGAGGGGAGACACTTCCACGGGAAGATGCTACCGGAGCTGCAGCTGAACCCAGAGGTGTGGTCGCTCAACTGTGACCAGGGCCTTGTCCCTCCAGTTCTCCCCGTCCAGGACTCTCAGGGATGACGAAACTATCTGCTGATTCCTCAATGCAATGTCCTTCTCAAATTCAGGTGGCAGATCACTCAACCAACACATATTTGTGATCTCTGAAATGTTGCTTGTTCCACCCAGTCCTCTTTCAGGCCTGCGACATGGAAAGTGTGAAGTAAACAATCGTCAAAGCAGAGGTGCAGAAGGAGGGGGTTCTGCCCTTAGCAAGTCCTTTGAGCTCAGTTTTCCCAACAAATCAACTCTTCTGAGCCAGCTGAGCCACAGCCACGAAGGGAACATCAATAAAGGATCATTTCCCAATGGGGAAATGTGCAGGGAGTGAATCCCTGAATATTGAGTGATGTAGTGAGGAGACCAGAGAGAAGCCCCTTGGCCTCTGACCCTCTCCCCTGCTCATGGTTTTCCTTTCATGAAGTGAAGCGCCCCCAAGGCCAGAAACCCCAGAAGACAGACTAGATGCAGGTGTGGCCCTGGGAGTGGCGATTTAGGGGAGCAGCACCTGCAGAGAGGGGGTGAGGAGGGGCTGGGAACGGAGGAGAGTCTGGGATGTTGCCCTAGTTCTGGGGCCAGAGACCCAGAGCTCAGCTCTCTCTCTCTGATGCTTCCCTTGGCTCCAAATTCTGTTGCACGTCCAGCTGGATTCTCCTCTGCAATTATGGGACGTGAGAAAGGGGGTTCCCCTTAGAGACCAAATCAGTAGAAGGAGCATCAGAGAACCTGGATGAGGAGGAAGGGTCTGGGAGCAAATGTCTGACACTGCAGAGGATGCCAGGAAGTCAACAGCCCGAGGAGGCTGAGCAGGGATTTTTACTGAGCTCAGATTTCAGAGCAGGATCTTGTCCCTTCCCTTCCTGCTCTCCTGGTCCACATGCAGTTCAGTCTCAAGCAGGTCTCTGTGCTCACCCAAGCACCCTCCGTGTCCTCGCATGGAGCCAACTCTGAGTGCTGCGTCTGTCGCTTGTAAAACCAAGCGAGTGTAACGCCTGCTTCATGCACTTGGACACGTCCAGGTGACCACTCCTGAGTGCGCTGCTCAGGAAGACATCTGTTTACTTTGACTAGAAAGCTATGATTAAACTGTTTTCTCTGTGACCTTTCGTAAGACAATAGCTTGAGAAGGTAACAAAATCTACAGGGGATATGCTTGCATTGCACTGATTCCTTCCTCGCCTGACTCATGTACTTTGCCAAGTTGTGTTTTCTTTAGCATGTGCGTAAAATGTCTGCTTTCCAAATGTTCCTGAGTGCACATTTCATTAAACTTCTGGGGAGAAGACCCAGTTGCGGACTAGGTGATGGTCAGCAGGACTCGAAAGAAAAGAAAGGATCAAACTTCTGGACAAAGGGGATCTAACTCAAGCTCCCTTGGACACACACCTAGATGGTCAGCTCTGGGCTTTTTGCTTGTTTTCAGTGACTGACATGGAAAGAGTGCAGACTTTGCCATGAGAACGACCTCCTTTCAAATCCTGCCGCGGTACACAGGCTCCATTAGATCATTACACTGAATAAGGACGGAGCCCCTGCTAGGACCGAGCCCTGAGCAGTGCACTCATGATCGTCACCTGGACGTGTCCAAGTGCCTGAAGCAGGTGTGAGACCGCTCGGTTTTACAGGCAACAGACGCAGCACTCAGAGTTGACTCCTTGCGAGGACACAGGAGGAGGGTGCTTGGGTGAGCAGAGACCTGCTTGAGACTGAAACTGCGTGTGGGCCTGGAGAGCAGCCACGGGCTCCCTGTGTGCAAACTGGAGTGAGTTGGAGAACCGGGAGAGGACTCCATGGTTGCAGGACGGAAGCACCTGCTGTGCAAGAGGGTTGGAGCTCCAGAGAGAAGCCATACATTTCAAAATGTGTTTTTGTGAAACTGCTTCCCAAGAGGTAAAGAGACAGGGTCATCATGTGTCCAGAATTACACATCTCTGTCTCCTACTTGGGGGTGCTCCTGTCTGAGCACCAAGCCGCGTGCTCCCTGTCCCATACCTCGCTATGATCCGGGACGACAGCTTGAGTCCTTCTACTGCAGCATGAAGAGGGACCAGGCATGGAGGCAAATTTCTCTGCAGCCACTGTGGGAACAGATGCACTGGTCCTGGGCATGCCCGCCACGAGGCCACTGACCTCTTGTTTCCCTAGAGGGCATAGAGCCCTGTTCCACCCAGAACATGACTTCACTGTGCTCTCTTGGCCATGCTGATGCCAGACACCATGGACAGAGTGTTTGGGTCCTCCTCTAGGCTGATGGTCAGTGCACGTTGTTCCTCTCAGCTCATTTTATGCAAAAGAAATAATGTCTTAGAAAGGAGAAGAAATGAATGAGGCTCAAATGCCAACAGTGGGCATGTGTCACATATTTCAGAGAGCCTGGTGTGCACAGGTGACTTCGTACTATTTCACACCCACTGCATACCCAGTGCCCCACAGACTAGCAGAGAGTGGTTCGATTCTACTCTGGAGTTACAGAAATTAAGGTAAAGGAGAACAATGCACCTGAATGAAATCAGAGCCAGCATTGTCAGACTCATGATGCAAACTCAGGCCTGTGTGGTCCCTAAGCCTCCTCCTTCCACACATGAAAAGGAGGGGCCTCCACTCCAGACACCCCCTGTACCCCACCCAGTATGGACTTCACAATGAAGCATGGACAGGATGTGCAGAGGGAAACAATCATTTATTCATTCAACAAACAATAGGCATTTCCTGAAAGCAACTGTGTGTCAAGCCTTTCTCCAAAGGAGACACCAGTGGCAGAACCTGGTCTTCACCTTGGAATGAGTCATGAGGGGGTCTGGGTGGGGAGAGGGAATTCCCAGAACACACTGGGCATGACACAAAGTTACATTCAGTGGCAGCATCAGATGTGAGGGGAAATCATGTTGGAGATTCAACGTAAACCAACTTCATGGCTCAATTTTTCCTTTGTAAGAATTGGCTGAAATAGAAAAAAACAGCAAAGTGATGATGTAGGTGACAGAGATGTGACACAGGAGAATGAGTTCATGCATCAATTTCACAGTCAAACTCTGGACTCAACACTTAGAGTGGTTCATCTTCACACCCGCTGCACAGCGGACAGGGACGTAGCGATGGAGCCGAAAACAACCCCAGCACCGAGTCCTTCCCCGCAGGGCCGTTCCAGCACTTTCCCTTTCATTCTGTCCACACCAGACCCAGGAAAGGACTCACAGGATCCCTTGCCAGAGCCCCAGCCACGGAGGCAGCAGCAGAACCAGAGCTCTGAGGGGCCCTGTGGCTCCTCGCCCCAAGGCCGGTGGAGGCTGAGGGTTCATGTGACATATGGAGGGGCGAGACTGTACCCCAAGGTTAGAGACATGCGAACAACTGGCAGATGCATAAAATTTGAGAGGGAGAAAAAACACAAGTGGGTCAAACAGTGAATTTCGTTGGGGGAGAATCAGAAATCCCCCTACTCTTACACCTAAGTCATGGGGGTTGAGACTGAGGGGCGGTGTGAGGGGTCAGAGGCCCCACCAGACTTACCCTACACAGGGGCACGGCAGACTTTCCCACACCTGCCCTCACAGCACTTTAAGTTGCCGGGACACTCGCCATCTGTCTCACAGTCGTTGGGAGGGTTCCGCATATAGCAGCGTCCAAGTATTGTTTCACACTGGCCAGGCTTCGTCCCTGGTGCGAGGAGAGCACAGGTGAAGGCCCTGCACGTCCCCACGGCGCTGCTGCCGGACCCAGCCTGCTCCACCTCCACAGACAAAATGATCTCCCCAGCCCCATGACCCCCACTTCCTCCAGAGAGGACTGCATGTCCCTTGAAGGCAGAGCCTGCTCCGCTCTAACTCCAGACCGCATCACTGCAGGGGACAGGCGTCAGGGCTTACTGGGTGGCTGCTGCCCACTGCCCAGAGTTCTGAATTTAGGACCAGATGATATGGCCTGAAAAAGGACCTGCTGGCAGGTGCTTGTGTCCACTGCCAGGTGGTCACTGGCTTTTTGGGCCAGTGTGACCCCCTAAGCAGCAGAAATAGGAGTCCCAGCACCACCCAACCCTGCCCCCTGAGGCTGTGTCCTCTGCTCACACCATTCACCAGCTCTGCCACCTGCTTACCAGGTTATTAGAGTTTCACAGCGTTCAGGCATTTCATTTTGCACTTATCAATGCAGCATCTCTTCTCTAGAGGGCCCTGCCAGTCTCGCTGGCATTCAGATTTGTCAAGTTTAGTGCACCTGGCTGGTGAACTCCTAGGGCATTCTCCACCCTTCACAGCTCGAGGACAGAGCCAAGAACTCAGCCGGGCCTGGGGATCAGGGTCTTGGGCACACCTGAGCCAAGCCCCACCTAGTAGAGAGACCCTCCCCCAGGGGACTGTGCACAGGTGCCAGGGGAGATGCCTGCCTGACCCACATGAAGGACAGGCTGGAGAACCACACGCACTGACTGGGGTCACAGAAGCTGGAAACCCCCGATTATCAGCCAAGGGTGCCTATGCCAGGGATAAGCAGGCCGTGCCAAGGCAGAGAGACAACCAGGAGCGGTGGGGGAGGAGAGATTTAAAAGTTATGAAACCAGGGCCTCCCCGGTGGCGCAGCGGTTGAGCGCTGGCTTGCGAAGTTGCCCGTGGCCTCCGCAGCGCCGGTTCGATCCCCGGCTGCTCCCCAGCCACCGGAGGAGGGTCCTGCATGGCGCGCAGACCTCTCCTGCCACCCGCTGCTCCCCTCAGCAGTGTACTTCGGTCCTTCTGCCTGCTCTGCTCCCCGCTCTGGCTCTCACCCTCCTGCGCTTCTGACTGTACCCAGTGCTTGTATAAATAAATAATGAATCTTTAAAAATAAAATATAAAATAAATAAATAAAAGTTATGAAACCAAATTACAAGTTGACGGCCAGGCACAGAGACTAAAGGACGAAGCAGAGAGGGGCAGGCAGAGAAGAGAAAAGGCACAGAGGACGTGAGACCCGGGCTGAGGACAGCGGAGGCAGGAGCATCTCCTCATGCTCAGACCCTCACGAGACCTGGGAGCCCAGGTGGGCAGGACCCACCTCAGGGAGGTTCTCAGACTACGGGGCTGCATCAGCTAGAGAAGGGGCCTCCCCACACCACCAAGAACTCCCGCCTCTGCCCCACATCAAGATTGTACCAGGGCGAGTCCCACTCACCATCTCTGTCAGCTTCCACAGCCCACGGTGCCAGGGTTCCCAGGACAAGAAGCGCCAGAAGGAGGAGGCCACTGGACTTCATGGTGGGGACAGGGCAGGCTCTGAGGGCAGGTGCCTGGCCTCGCTCTTTATACAGGAGGCAGCTCCACCCCAAATGCTGCCCTGCCCTGAGGTGATTCCAAGGCCAGGAAGTTCAGCAAGAAATCAGCAGTCCTGACACCAGGAGGCAGTAACTCCTTTGTTCCAGGCAAGAGAGAAGCCAAAAGAGCACCAGCCAGGGGAGGAAAAGAAGAATCTGACCTGAAGATGACCCCGAAGCATCCATGTGATGCCTACATACCCTGGAGGGCTGGCCACTGGCCTCCTAGGTGCAGAGGGGAGGCACTTCCATGGGAAGATGCTACTGGAGCTGCAGCTGAACCCAGAGGTGTGGTCGCTCAACTGTGACCAGGGCCTTGTCCCTCCAGTTCTCCCCGTCCTGGACTCTCAGGGATGACGAAACAATCTGCTGATTCCTCAATGCAATGTCCTTCTCAAATTCAGGTGGCAGATCACTCAACCAACACATATTTGTGATCTCTGAAAAGATGCTGCGTCCCACCCCAGTCCTCTTTCATGCCTGCGACATGGAAAGTGTGAAGTAAACAATCGTCAAAGCAGAGGTGCAGAAGGAGGGGGTTCTGCCCTTAGCAAGTCTCTGGAGCTCAGTTTTCCCAACAAATCAGCTCTTCTGAGCCAGCTGAGTGACAGCCACGAGGGAACGTCAATAAAGGATCATTTCCCAATGGGGAAAAGTGCAGGGAGTGAATCCCTGAATAATGAGTGATGTAGTGAGGAGACCAGAGAGAAGCCACTGTGTCCTCTGACCCTCTCCCCTGCTCATGGTTTCCTTTCATGAAGTGAAGTGACCCCAAGGCCAGAAGCCCCAGAAGACAGACCAGATGCAGGTGTGGCACTGGGAGTGGTGAGTTAGGGGAGCAGCACTTGCAGAGAGGGGCCAAGGAGGGGCTGGGAACGGAGGAGAGTCTGGGATGTTGCCCTAGTTCTGAGGCCAGAAACCCAGAACTCAGCTCTCTCCCTCTGATGCTTCCCTTGGCTCCAACTTCTGCTGCAGGGCCAGCTGGATTCTCCTCTGCAACTCCGGGGACATGGGAAAGGGGGTTCCCCTCAGAGACCTAATCAGTAGAAAGGGTCAGAGAACCCGGATGAGGAGGAAGGGTCAGGGGTCCATGGAGCAAATGTCTGACTCTGCAGAGGATGCGGGAAGTCAACAGACAGGGGAAGCTGAGGAGCCACAGGCCTCCTGTGTGCAAAGTGGAGTGAGAGTGGGAACCGGGAGATGAGGCCATGCTGGCAGGACTGAAGCAGCTGCTGTGCAAGAGGGTTGGAGCTCCAGACACAGAGTTTTGGGTCCTCCCTGGGCTGATCATCAGCACATGGTGTTCCTCTCAGCTCATTTTATGCAGAAGAAATAATTATCAGACACGTGATGCAAACTCAGACCTGTGTGGTCCCTAAGCCTCCTCCTTCCACACATGAAAAGGGGGGCCTCCCCTCCCTACAACCCTGAACCCCAACCCGTATGGACTTCACAATGAAGCATGGACAGGATGTGCAGAGAGAAATATTTATTCATTCAACAAACACCAGGCATTTCCTGAAAGCAACTGCGTGTCAAGTCTTTTCTCCAAAGGAGACACTGGTGGCAGAACCTGGTCTTCACTTTGAAATGTGTCATGAAGGGAGTCTGGGGAGGGAGAAGGAATTCCCAGAACACACAGGGCGGAACCCAATGCCTCTTTCAATGGCAGCATCAGATGTGAGAGTAAATCATGTTGGAACTTCCACATAAACCAACATCACTGCTAAAATTTTCCTTTTGATGAAACTGCTAGAATAGAAAAAACAGCAAAGTGATGATGTAGATGACAGAGATGTGACATGAGGAGCCCGATAAAGACTCAATTTTATAACAAACTCTGGACTCAACACTTAGAGCAGTTGTCATCACACCCGCTGCACAGCGGACAGGGACATAACGATGGAGCCGAAAACAGCCCCAGCACCGGTCCTTCCCCGCAGGGGCGTTCCAGCACTTTCCCTTTCATTCTGTCCACACCGGACCCGGGAAAGGACTCACAGGGCCCCTTGCCAGGGCCCCAGCCACGGAGGCAGCAGCAGAACCAGAGCTCTGAGGGACCCTGTGGCTCCTCGCCCCAAGGCCGGTGGAGGCTGAGGGAAGCACGTGCACATATGGAGGTGCGAGACTGTACCCCAAAGTTATAGAGACATGCAAACAACTGGCAGATGCATAAAATTTGAGAGGGAGAAAAAACACAAGAGGGTCAAACAGTGAATTTCATTGAGGGAGAATCAGAAATCCCCCTACTCTTACACCTAAGTCATGGGGGTTGAGACTGAGGGGCGGTGCGAGGGATCAGAGGCCCCACGAGACTTACCCTACACAGGGGCAAAGCAGGCTTTCCCACACCTGCCCTCGCAGCACTTGAAGTGGTCCGTACAATCGCCATCTGTCTCACAGTGGTTGGGAGGGTTCAGCATCTTGCAGTGTCCAGTTATTGTCGGACACCGGCCAGGCTTCGTCCCTGGTGCGAGGAGAGCACAGGTGAAGGCCGTGCACGTCCCCACGGCGCTGCTTCCAGACCTAGCCTGCTCCACCCTCCACAGCCAAAAAGATCTCCCCAGCCCCATGACCCCCACTTCCTCCAGAGAGGCCTGCACGTCCCTTGAAGGCAGAGCCTGCTCCGCTCTAACCCCAGACCCCATCACTGCAGGGGACAGGCATCAGGGCTCACTGGGTGGCTGCTACCTACTACCCAGAGTTCTGAATTTAGGACCAGATGATATGACCTGAAATCGGACCTGCTGGCAGGTGTTTGTATCCACTGCCAGGTGGCCACTTCCTGTGTGGCCAGTGTGACCCCCTGAGCAGCAGAAACACGTGTCCCTGCACCCCCCAACCTTGCCCCCTGTGGCTGTGCCCTCTGCTTCAGGACTTTCACCAGCTCTGCCACCTGCTCACCTGGGTATGAGAGTTTCACAGGGTCCTGGCATTTCATACTGCACCTATCAACGCAACATCTCTTCTTTCCTGAGCACTTCCAGTCACTTTGGCATTCAGTTTCATCAAGTTCAGTGCAACTGGCTGGTAAACTCCTGGGGCATTCGCCACCCTTCACAGCTGCCGGGATAGAGCCAAGAGTTCAGCCGGGCCTGGGGATCAGGGATCATCGTGACACCTGAGCCAAGCCCCACCTGCTGGAGAGACCCTCCCCCAGGGGACTGTCCACAGGTGCAAGGGGAGATGCCTGCCTGACCCCACGAGAAGGACGAGCTGGATGAACCACACACCGTGACACAGTCACAAGCTGGAAGGCCCCGGGCGTCAGCCAAGGGTCCCTGCCCCAGGGATAAGACAGGCTGTGCCACGGCAGAGACACAACCGAGAGTGGTGGGGGAAGAGAGATATAAAAGATATGAAACCAACGTGACAGGTGACAGCCAGGCACAGAGGCTAAAGGACGAAGCAGAGAGGGGCAGGCAGAGAAGAGAAAAGGCACAGAGGATGTGAGACCCGGGCTGAGGACAGCGGTGTCAGGAACATTTCCTCATGTCAAATCCCTCACCGTTCTGGGAGCCAAGGTGGGCAGGACCAACCTCAGGGAGGTCTTCTCAGACTATGTGGCCTCCCCACACCACCAAGATTGGAGGTCCCACCTCTGCCAAGAACCAAGATTGTACTGGGGCATGTCCCACTCACACTCTCTGGCACTTTCCACGGCCCAAGATGCCAGAGTTCCCAGGACAAGAAGCGCCAGAAGGAGGAGGCCACTGGACTTCATGGTGGGGACAGGGCAGGCTCTGAGGGCAGGTGTCTGGCCTCACTATTTATACAGGAGGCAGCTCCACCCCAAACACTGCCCCGCCCAGAGGTAATTCCATGGGCAGGAAGTTCAGCAAGAAATCAGCAGTCCTGACACCAGGAGGCAGTAACTCCTTTGATCCAGGCAAGACAGAGAAGCCAAAAGAGCAACAGCCAGGGAGGAAAAGGAGAAGCTGGCCTGAAGATGACCCCGAAGGGTCCATGTGATACCTACATGCCCCAGAGAGCCGGCCACTGGCATCCTAGGTGCAGAGGGGAGGCACATCCATGGGAAGATGCTGCTGGAGCTGCAGCTGAACCCAGAGGTGTGGTCGCTCCTCTCTGACCACGTCCCTGTCCCTCCAGCTCTCCCCGTCCTGGACTCTCAGGGATGACGAAACAATCTGCTGATTCCTCAGTGCAACGTCCTTCTCAAATTCAGATGGCAGATCACTCAACCGACAGGTATTTATGATCTCTGGATTATTTGCTCCGTTCCATGCCAGTCCTCTTTCATGCCTGCGACATGGAAAGTGTGAAGTAAACAATCGTCAAAGTAGAGGTGCAGAAGGAGGGGGTTCTGCCCTTAGCAAGTCTCTCGAGCTCAGTTTTCCCAACAAATCAGCTCTTCTGAGCCAACTGAGCGACAAACACAAAGGGAACGTCAATAGTGCAGCTCCAATAGCATCTTTCCGAATGGGGAAAAGTGCAGGGAGTGAATCCCTGAATAATGAGTGACGTAAAGGAGACCAGGGCGAAGGCCCAGTGGCCTCTGACCCTCTCCCCAGCTTCATGGCTTTCCTTTCCCTGAGGTGAAGCGACCCAAGGCCAGAAGCCCCAGGAAACAGCCAGGTGTAGGTGTGGCCCTGGGAGTGGCATTTTAGGGGAGCAGCACTTGCAGAGAGGGGCCAAGGAGGGGCCGGAACGGAGGAGAGTCTGGATGATTCCTTGTCCTGGGACCAGAGACCCAGAGCTCAACTCTCTCCCTCTGATGCTTCTCTTGGCTCCAACTTTTGCTGCACAAATCCATTCGGATTCTTCTCTGCAACTCCGGGGACGTGAGAAAGGGGGTTCCCCTTGGAGACCAAATCAGTAGAAGGAGGGTCAGAGAACCCGGATGAGGAGGAAGGGTCTGGGGTCCATGGAGCAAATGTCTGATTGCAGAGGACGCCGGGAAGTCATCGCTAGAGGAAGCTGAGCAGGGATTTGTGCTGAGGTCAGATTTCAGTCCAGGATCTTGTCCCTTCTCTTCCTTCAAAAAGGAAGACAGGGCCTCCCTGGTGATGCAGAGTTTAGGCACTGGGCTGCAAAGCTGCCTGCAGCCTCTGCAGCGCCGGCTTGATCCCCTGCCGCCAGCAAGGGTCCCACATGGCGTGCAAACCTCTCCTGCCATGCCCGCTGCTCCCCTCAGCAGTGTACTTGGTCAGTCTGCCTGCTCTGCTCCCCGCTCTGGCTCTGGCGAATTCTCTCACCCTCTGGCGCTTCTGACTGTACCCAGTGCTTGTATAAATAAATAAATAAATCTTGAAAAAAAAAAAAAAAGCAAGACACCTGTTCACTTTGACTAGAACTACAGCTGAAGTGTTTTCTCTGTGACTTTTCAGTAAGGAAAAGCTTGAGAAGGTGACAAAATCTACAGAGGATGAACGTGGCCTCAGTGGCAGCTGGGATGTGTTTGCATTGCACTGATTCCTTCCTCGCCTGACTCGCGTACTTTGCCAAGGGTGTGTTTTCTTTAGCATGTGTGTAAAATATGTCTGCTTTCCAAATGTTCCTGAGTGCACATTTCATTAAACTTCTGGGGAGAAGACCCAGCTGTGCACTAGGTGATGGTCAGCAGGACCCGAAAGAAAAGAAAGGATCAAACTTCTGGACAAAGGGGATCTAACTCAAGCTCCCTTGTCTGGGCACACACACCTAGATGGTCAGCTCTGGGCTTTTTGCTTGTTTCAGTGACTGACATGGAAAGAGTGCAGACTTTGCCATGAGAACGACCTCCTTTCAATTCCCGCCGCGGTACACAGGCTCCATTAGATCATTACGCTGAATAAGGACCGAGCACCTGCTAGGACCGAGCACTGAGCAGCACAGTCACGATCGTCACCTGGACGTGTCCGAGTGCCTGAAGCAGGTGTGAGACCGCTCGGTTTTATAAGCGACAGACGCAGCACTCAGAGTTGGCTCCATACGAGGACACAGGAGGAGGGTGCTTGGGTGAGCAGAGACCTGCTTGAGACTGAAACTGCGTGTGAGCCTGGAGAGCAGCCACGGGTTCCTGTGTGCAAATTGGACTGAAGGGGAACTGGAAACGACTCCATGGCTGCAGGGCTGAAGCACCTGCTGTGCAAGAGGGTTGGAGCTCCAGAGAGAGGCCACACACTTCAAAATGTGTTTTTGTGAAAACTGCTTCCCAAGAGGTGAAGAGAAACAGGGTCATCATGCGTCAGGAATTACGCATCCTGTCTCCCACTTGGGGGTGCTCCTGTCTGAGCACCACGCGGCATTGTCCCTGCCCCATGCCATCACTGTGCTCCGAGGGCAACAGTTTGAGTCCTTCTACTGCAGCATGAAGAGGGACCAGGCATGGAGGCAAATTTCTCTGCAGCACTGTGGGAACAGATGCACTGGTCCTGGGGGTACCTGCCACGAGGCCACTGAACTTTCTTGCTTCCCTAGAGGGCATAGAGACCTGTTTCACCCAGAACATGACTTCACTGTGCTCTCTTGGCCATGCTGATGCCAAGACACCATGGACAGAGCTTTGGGTCCTCCCCTGGGCTGATCATCATCACATGTTGTTCCTCTCAGCTCATTTTATGCAAAAGAAATAATGTCTTAGAAAGGAGAAGAAACAAAAGAGGCTCAAATGCCAACAGTGGGCATGTGTCACATATTTCAGAGAACCTGCTGTGCCCCGGGACTGTGTACTCATTTCACACCCACTGCATACCCAGTGCCCCACAGACTGGCAGAGAGTGGTTCGATTCCACTCTGCAGTTACAGAAATTAAGGTAAAGGAGAACAATGCACCTGAATGAAATCAGAGCCAGCATTGTCAGACTCATGATGCAAACTCAGGCCTGTGTGGTCCCTAAGCCTCCTCCTTCCACACAAGAAAAGGAGGGGCCTCCACTCCAGACACCCTCTGTACCCCACCCAGTATGGACTCCACAATGAAGCATGGGCAGGATGTGCAGAGAGAAACATTTATTCATTCAACAAACAATAGGCATTTCCTGAAAGCAACTGTGTGTCAAGCCTTTCTCCAAAGGAGACACCGGTGGTAGAACCTGGACTTCACCTTGGAAAGTGTCATGATGGGGTCTGGTTGGGGAGAGCGAATTCCCAGAACACACAGGGCATAACCCAAAGTTACTTTCAGTGGCAGCATCAGATGTGAGCGGAAATCATGTTGGAGCTTCAACGTAAACCAACTTCATGGCTCAATTTTTCCTTTCTAAGAATCCTGAAATAGAAAAAAAGGAGCAAAGTGATGATGTAGATGACAGAGATGTGACACAGGAGAATGAGTTCATGTGCCCTTTTTACAGTCAAACTCTGGACTCAATACTTGGAGTAGTTCATCATCACACCCGCTGCACAGCGGACAGGACGTAGCGATGGAGCCGAAAACAGCCCCAGTACCGAGACCTTCCCCGCAGGGGCGTTCCAGCACTTTCCCTTTCATTCTGTCCACACCGGACCCGGTAGAGGACTCACAGGGTCTCTTGCCAGGGCCCCAGCCACGGAGGCAGCAGCAGAACCAGAGCTCTGAGGGACCCTGTGGCTCCTCGCCCCAAGGCCTGTGGAGGCTGAGGGAAGCATGTGACATATGGAGGTGCGAGACTGTACCCCAAAGTTACAGAGATATGCAAACAATTGGCAAATGAATAAAATTTGAGGGAGAAAAAACACAAGAGGGTCAAACAGTGAATTTCGATGGGGGAGAATCAGAAATCCGCCTTCTCTTACACCTAAGTCATGGGGGTTGAGACTGAGGGGCGGTGTGAGGGATCAGAGGCCCCACCAGACTTACCCTACACAGGGACAAGGCAGGCTTTCCCACATATGCCCTCGCAGCACTTCAATTTGCCTGGACACTGACCATCTGTCTCACAGCGGTTGGGCGGGTTCAGCATCTTGCAGCCTGCCATTATTTTTGGACACTGGCCAGGCTTCGTCCCTGTTCGATGAGAGCACAGGTGAAGCCCTGCATTTCCCTGCGGTGCTGCTTCCGGACCCAGCCTGCTCCACCCTCCACAGACAAAAAGATCTCCCCAGCCCCATGACCCCCACTTTCTCCAGAGAGGCCTGCATGTCCCTTGAAGGCAGAGCCTGCTCCGCTCTAACACCTGACCCCATCACTGCAGGGGACAGGCGTCAGTGCTGACTGGGTGGCTGCTGCCCACTGCCCAGAGTTCTGAATTTAGGACCAGATGATTTGGCCTGGAAATGGACCTGCTGGCAGGTGCTTGTGTGCACTGCCAGTGGTCACTTCCTGTCTGGCCAGTGTGACCCCCTGAGCAGCAGAAACATGAGTCCCAGCACCACCCAACCCTGCCCCCTGAGGCTGTGCCCTCTGCTTCAGGACTTTCACCGCTCTTGCCACCTCTCACCTGGATACTAGTGTTTCACAGGGTCCAGGCATTTCTCTGCACTTATCAATGCAGCATCTCTTCTCTAGTGGGCACTGCCAGTCACGCTGGCATTCAGATTTGTCAAGTTTAGTGCACCTGGCTGGCGAAATGCTAGGGCATTCTCCACCCTTCACAGCTGCAAGGACAGAGCCTAGAGCTCACCCGGGCCTGTGGAACAGGGGCCTTCAGAACATCTGAGCCAGCCCCAGCTGCTGGAGAGACCCTCCCGCAGGGGACTGTCCACAGGTGCAAGGGGAGATGCCTGCCTACCCACATGAAGAAGGACAGCAGGATGAGCCACAGGCACTGACACAGCAGATGGAAACCCCCGAGTATCAGCCAA